TTTGAAAGCACATACCGCAACAGGCGCACGTGTAGCCTGGAACTTTCCCTCGATGAAGTCGCTAAAGCCGTCATCAGCGGCGAGGTCAAGCGTTCGTTCCAGCACCGTGCAGGTCATATCGCGGAGGGGGTCCACTATCAAATAGCTGCGCTCTTGATCTTCCGCCTCTATGGGTTTTTCAGGTTCCGCCTGGAGATTTTTTACAAGCATGAAAATGTGGTGTTGTTAAAAATAATGCAGGAAAAACGAAGCTTGTTAAACACAATAGAGAATCGAAGGGGAAAGATGTTTGGAAATATGATATGTCACGACAAATCAAATAACTGAGCTGTATGTAGACCGAGATGAAGTTATTTAGATCATATAAGAGAACAATTTAATATCGTGTCATATATCAGGAAATTAAACGAAAGGCTGAATAACAGATAAGAAAAGGAGTGTAACAAACACGCCGTCTAACAGCAAACTTAACTAAACTTCTAAACTTTAGAACCTACGTTCTAAAGCTTGTAAAAGTGCCCTCATTCATAAAATACTTTTCATCACACTTTCTCAACACCACTTGGTAAACAGTGACACGACATGCAGACCAAGTCGACCGTAATATCCTAAATCATGCCCACGGGATTTTTCATTACATTATCGCCCTATGGATTTCTTACGTCAAAATTAAGGAAAAAGTTTTTGTGCTCAAAAAATCGGAACGTGTATTTCGCATAAACTTAAAGTATAAAAAAGCTAAACATTTGCAATTTAACAAATTTTTAGTAAATAAAATTTATTTTGTGAATTCAAATTCTGCAGTATTTTTAGAGTTTGGAAATTATTGATCTTATATCTAATACATTGTGACTGCATGCGACTGTGACGTTTATAACATTTTAGTTTGAGTTGTATTATCTATGGAAGAACAGCAGGCAATCTGTTTAAAAAAAACCGCCATGTGCAAAATCCGTAAATGTTATGTTGTAAAGCGATATTTATCCATATAAGAAATAAATTATCGTTATATCTATTTCCTCGCAAATGTGATAAAAAACATTGTATTATAGCACGGGCGGTAAAAATTAAAAATTCGAGCGTTTAAAGCCCTCAGCCTTCGGCTTCGGGCGTCTAACAAACTCTCGTTAGTAATTTCTTATCCGAGTTTGGTAATTCGCTTACATCTTCGGCGGTGGGCTAATTCAAGTAGCATTCTTTTTACGAATTTAATATTTTGGCAGCATACACTATAAATATGTATTAATAATAACAATGAAAATTAAAAACAATTTGCTGTCAGTAGTAACCAAACAACAAATAAAAACAAAATAATTTGTTTCAAACGCTGACGCGCGTAACGTCCGAGCAAATTCGCTCGTAGCGAATTTCGCTACGAGCGAATGTTGCAACGCTACTTTGTGGCCTTTGACGCTTGTAGCAATAAGCGAACTCGCTAGGAGCCTGACGGCTCGTGGCCCTCGCGTTAATGTTCATGCATTTTCGGCGGTAAAAAGCCGATACTGCGTCGTCGATGACGACCAACGACGCAGTATCGACGATCGACGCACGATCGACGACCTTAACCGTGCCAAGGGGCTTATAGGTGACTCAGAATTAGTGGAAGCTGCAGAGCCTGAACACCGCCGTAAAGTTGCATGCTTATCGGTATTTTATCACGGAAAGATTACGATGGAATTCCACTATTTAATTCCGCCTTCCCCTTTCCATCACCGGGGAACTAGGCACAGGCTTGGGTCCACCCCTATGTTATGGATATTCCAAAGATTCGAACGAAGCATTACGCTTCTACATTTAAATGGCGAACGGCTATGCAGTGGAATTTCCTGGCTGTAGACTTGTTCCCTGAACGTTAAGTTGAGCCTTTTCAAGGCGAGAGTGAATAGGAATTATTTAGATGTGCATGCTCCATTGTCTACCTCATCGTCAGTATCCATAAGGTGAGATGGAGGTCAAATGCGCACTTACATTTTATAAAAGAAATTACTAACCTCAAGCGGTCGACTAGGATCGATAATGGTGGCGACGTTGTCACCCAAGGCGTCGCTGACGAGATACGTCCGCGCTCGACCCGTGTCCGTAATGACGTAGGTCTCTCCCCCTCCTCCGCCGGCCGACGCCTCCTCGTAGGAGGAGTTGTTGTCAGCGCACGACAACTCGTCAGCGTTGTCCGTAGGGTACGTGTGTGTTTGAGACAGAATGTCCAGTTTCTCTTTCGCTGCAATTAACAGGTAAAATATATATATGTGTTACGTTATAATTTATGAATACAAAGATCGAACTCTATCAGTCGTAGCGCTATCTACGACAAATCTATGAAAGTATTTTGTCACCCAGGCATCTTTAAAGCTACCAGCCCTGACTAGAGATGTCGCTATTCACTGTAATTAAGTGTTTTATTGAATGCCAGGATGTTTCACGTGTATGTGTGTAATGGAGTAATTTTACAAAAAAAATTCATATCATGGTGGTACATGTTCTACGTGCAATTTGATTCACACTTCTTACCAAAGTCGCCAAACTTTAAATTAACAAAGTACAACGTCTTAAAATTAAATTAAAATGTACAACAATTTAAATTTCCATAATCTTTGAAAGTTTTTCTTCACTCAGCAACAAAATAACTGAATATCATGATAATAACACATTGTGATATTTCATTATCTATTTCTGCCGCCAAGCAGCAATATAAGCATTACTACGTTCCGGTTTTGAAGGGTAAGGGTGCTGGCGAAATTACAGGCACCTGGGACTTGTCAACTTATGTAACGAGGTGACGGGCGCAGTGGTAGTGCTCCTCAGATCTTTGCAATTTAATCTCTGAAAGTCACTGCAATTGTTATGGATAGGCGTGTCGCTTACCACCAGGCGCACGACTTGTTCGTCCCGTCACTAGGTATTATCAAAAAAAGTGTTCGGTTGCAAATGTGTTAAATATACATGAAGTGAACTCACAGTGGTCGTGGGGGTTGGGTAGCAACCGGCATAGCGCGTAAGGCCGGCAGGGCTGTGCGCGGGACACCACCCAGCGGGAGCCCTCTCCAGCCACGCCCAGCTCTGAGAAATAACACATTCTGATTATTTATAGTCTGCCTTGAGTAAAATCACATTAACAGGATTGCCAATATTCGTGACATTTTAAATAGCCATGTAGTTGTTGTCGACAGATTTATCGATAGATTACGAAAGAATGTAAAATTTTGCTAAAAATGTCTGCATTGTGAATGTAACGACGTTCTAATGATTACTAAAAAAAAAATGATCGACAATTACATTAAGCAATTGATACAAAGTTCCTTATGCTATTTACAATTTAATTATAAATATTTACCTCATTAGATCGTAATATATTGGTAGATGCACAATTCCATACAATATCAATCACAAACCGACCCCTGCTACGTAAAGTATCGTATGTCGAAGTTGCCTAATTTACAGGGGAGCGTTTTAAAGTTTTGAATTCATTGAAATGAGCATAATTATAAATTATAAAATAAATTGTGGTTGTTCATCTAACCGATTTTGTAATACTCTATGTGAGTAACTATCTTTGCCAAATAAAACTAAGAAATGCTAAAGTCACGTGTTATGCTCATTCCAGTGAACTCAAAACTTTAAAACGCTCCCCTGTAACCTTGGCAATTTCGACATACGATACTTTACGTCGGAGGGATCGATCGAGTCACGGTTATTTATTTAGGTGCATACCTCTTTAGTTATTTAGCGAGTAGTATAATAGTGTGACATAATTCACTCTAATATAGATCTTAAAATTTTAGAAATAGCGTCGAAATACATCTGTGCAAGTTTCTACATATTACCTTTTATCTTGAAAGAGGTAATAAAGTTTAATGGCATCCAGAAACGAAACATGATTCTAAAAAAGTGTATTGTGTAATGAATCTTAAAACTATTATAGAAATTACAAACGAATCACATGATAACGTGAGGTGTGAATTACATCATTGTGACACAGTCGTTTACGATGCGAACAATGCCTTAAATTAAAACGAAAATGATGTAACTAAATGATATATTTATTGTCAGTAAGATTCTCCATTTTTTTTATACTTTTGGTGAAGTTTTTGTATTTTTGAACTGCACACTGCGACATCGTGATTCGTGCGTGGTTACCAAGCGAATGCAAATCAAGCCTATATATGTATCGGTGCTTTCTACCTTGCTACGTCGGTGCCACTTTTTGAGCGGCTACAGTGTATCTACCAATATATTTGATCGAAATTTGCTTACATTCTATTCCGCAGCAACGTAATTTTGAACCTTAAAACGTACCTTCGTAAGTATTAACTGCGCTGTCGTTGACGGCCGCAGATAACATTTCGTGCTCTTCCGCAACGTGACCAATGTACACGTCCTGAAACACAAACGGCATTTTATACAATTGGACTCCATTTGCAATCTTTCTCAAACACGCTCGAAAATGTTTACATTATTTTCAAAAAAGAACCCACAAAGTTTGTCATTTATGGAACTTGCAACTCTTTGCTGGTCTAGTTCGGCAAAATAGTAGGAAATCCATTACTGCCCGCTACTCCATACTTTTAAATTATCTACTAACAAAGAGCTACGTAAAGACTAAAAAGAAACTGTCATACAGCCATCTGCTCATTAACATCAATGTCCGTAATAGTGCACGAATATGTATGTAGTGCTGGTACTACATACTTTAAAAAATTGGCGATAAAATAAACGAAATTACTTTGAAGTACGTTTTTGTTATTTTTATTTTATACGTTTTTTACGCGAAGAGTTCTAGTGAGAAAAGCAAAAATATAATATTGGACTGTACTCCGCCTAATTTAAAACAAGAAACAAAATTTGTCATGGTAAACTTGATTTACTTTTTCTATTATACATTATCTTTAGTAATTTATTATTTCCTCGCATCGTTTGAAAAAAGCATTATATATACATCGGCGGGAACGGGTATTGCTTGATACGAAGCATAACATTCTATCTTCAACATTTAAATATCGTTCTCTATACATTATAACATACTGAATATAGCCACATGAAACCAATTACTGTCGTAACTCAAAATTGTAAAATTGAGAAAACACGATTCGAAAATTAAGAAAAAATATTTAATGGATATTGCGAATAATCTGATTATTTTTATTTATACATAATAATTAGTTATCCATTTATAAACGAGATTATTGCATTTATTGGTTTCAGTCGGCGAATGTAAAACTGTGTGTAAAACTTGAACTTTCAAATCGTGCCTTTTCAATTCCTCTATTTTGAGATACGACAATATTGCAGTGCATCGGAGATGTTCGCCATAGCTAAGATGACTTTGCAGCTATCATACGAAAAAGAATGGCTTCCCTGGTGCATAGGCTTCGTGGCAGCGTCCTGAGTATATGTAATTGCAAACAAGGTCAAGGGTTCTTTTCGCGACCACTGGTCCCCATATTAGTTTTAGAAAAAAATATTCATTATAGTACTAACTCTATTTTTAAGTGCTTTGTTACTAACCTCTATGGATGAATATTCCGAAATCAAGATATTTGACTTGAATTCCGTATCATGTGCGATATTATATTACACGATTGCAACAACCTAAGAAAGACGTACCTTGGGCGGTGCGTGCTTGTAGTGCAGCGAGATTTTGCTGAGTTCATGGTCGAGGTCAGCAAGCGCTGCCACGTGACGTGCCTTTTCTCCGCCTTCGGGCACCTCCACGCCCTCCGACTGGATGGACATGACAACAGTTTGTATAACATTAAACAAGTAAACACAAAATAAAATAATTTTTATTTTATAGATAAGCTAATTATACTTGAAATCGTCAAACTGATCAAATTCTACCGCTCATTCGTAAGGCAAATTCTCCTGAGAAGAATGAGCAACTAACTCTAGGGGTTGCTCTTTGAAATAGACATTTGAATATATTTCGCAATTACGATATATATTTGAAACATCTTAGCTCGAGACTACCTACAAAAGATAACAGGTCACTACCACAGATTTTTGTCATCCGAAGCTGCATAATAACCTTAATTATGAAGTTTTTGTTTCACTATAGTTTCAAATCTTGTAAATGGCAAATTTTGAATATCAATCGGAATCTTATTATAGAAGCGTATACATTGCCCCTTAAATAAATTTGTGATTTTGTAAAGAACAGCTAGTTTATTTTTATTCCTCGTATTAATGTTTTAAGTCTGTCACTATTTTTATACAAAAAAAATATTGTTTTTCTTAACATAAATTACATTTCATAAATGTACGATTTTCATAAAAGATATAGAAGTATTCGAGAACATCAAGCTGTTGTAGCCAAGTGAGTGCTGTTCATTATCAAGACCTAGGTGACCTAATAGTATACACGGTAGGCGTTGTTTGAAAAGCTCACGGATTCGATTTCCGGAAATTGTCCGCTTTCTAAATGTCTACTCAAAAGGTGCGACAAACTAGTAATTGTGATTAATACAATTTGATCTTACAAATAAATTGGAGTTGGTTTTTATACCGCTAGAGACGAAATCCGTTTGGCTAAGTTCTGGGCCGCAATAATAAAGTGCAAGGCATGCACTTCATTGTTGCGACTTAAAAACAATAAGAAAAAAAACAGTACATTACCTTATGTTGCACCATACTCCTGTGTGTTGGTGACAATGCAGGACTATATTCAAGCGGAGATTGCGGAGACACTGGACCCTGAAATAAATTTATCAATTATAATTAGCTGTTAATCCGTTACAGTACCAAATTACCAATTTAGCATTTCCAGACAAATCTGACTATTTTTAAATTCTAATAACAACTGTTGGATTGAAATGTTTACTGAATTGATATTCAATTATTTTTTATGTGAAATTACTCCATTAGTTTGTTATAATTATTAATACAAAGATTGAACAGTCAGAAAAAATTCCTTCGATCCGGCCGGATTTGAACCGACGTCTTCTACCGTGAGGACACTGCGAAACAAGAAAGCAACAGACGGTTGCATTACCCAGCACCGAAGCTGAATATATGGCAATCTCTGAAGCTTGTAAGGAAGCTATTTATTTAAGAAAGCTTCAAACTGAAATGTTATCAATAATACTTTGTATACCATTAAGACGTTTAATGACAGCCAAGGTGCTAAAAATTATTGTGGAATCAGATGTTCATAAGAGATCAAAGCGCATAGATGTGCGACATCATTTCATTGGAGATTTAGTTGCTAATAACATAGTTAAAGTTATACATTTAGAGTCACAAAATATGCCACCTGATCTCCGAACAAAAAGTTTGCCTTCTGTAAAACATTATTAGTTATTACTTGTTAAATAAGTTAGGTATAAGTAATAAGAACTAATTTCTTGTTTTCTAACTTTCATTCAAAAATATATGTTTATTTTGTACTAAATATTTTGATATAGTATGGCTGTTGATTTATATCAAAATATCTGTGCCCTACCCTATTGCCATTGGTTTAAGAAAAAATAAATTCAGTCTGTGCTTAACGAATGCGGTGTTTTATTAATAATAACGCACACACTCATAACACCTCACTAAAGAAACCCTGTGCCACACATAAATAAACGCAAATTAGACCCCACCTCACGATAAAAATAAATGTAGGCCATACAAACATTTCTCCTGGCCCGGGATTCGAGCCCGGGATCTCTGCGTGGCAGATCAGCATGGTAATCGTTCAGCACGGAGGCAGTAAATTGGTTAAACTTACTAAGAAACTTTATGGCATGAGCATATTTTACTAAACATTAATTATTAAAATACATACGGAATTCGAGATAGAAGCGAGTTTGTGATGTAGAGAGAGCATGTACTCGCTGTAAGACTGCGATTTGTTTGGCGTCGATGGCTGAGAAGTAGTGGCGCTGTCCACACTTGTCATACCTGAAATATGACAAATTCAACTTCAGAAATAAAAAAAAATTTAATTAAAATGCTATTTAAAAAAAATATTTGTGCGATTTTTCGGTATCAAACAATTAGGTGTACAGTAAATTATATGGTATCACAAAAAAATCTACTAATAACAGCGGACAAATATTCTCATAAAAATTACTATTTAATTAGTCAAAGTATTATAATACCATGTCTAGGATGTCAATATTACATTGTCATTACAATTTTACTGTTCATTACAGATCTACTATTCGAGAGAGAACAGTGATAGCCCAGTGGAAAAACGCTTGGTTCTTAATTTACAAGTCAGCAGTTGGAATTCCAGTGACGACGTGTACAGTCTGTAAACTCGGCGTGTAAACTCAGAGGAGCGAGCCCGAATCCGAACCCACGGCCTATTGCTTGAGGCTGTGTCTCAAACCATTAGGTTACCAGGGCTTAAGGTAAACAACGGAACGAACCAACGGACCTCACGAATTTTTTTTGTGCTTATTGTCGGATCTTTGTATGTGGTTTTCAACTACTTTTTAGCCGTAGCGCCATCTATGCGAAATCTACGAAAGTATTTCGTCATCCCGTTAGGTAACTTTACAGCTACCAGTCCCGGCTAGAGATGTCGTTATTAATTGTAATTAAATTTTAGATCTTTGTTTTAATAATCACAAGAATTATATTCATAGGGATACTAACCAGCCATCTCCATATCGACCGCTCTCCTTGCCAGAGCGTGATGCACCGCGCGCTGGGCTACCAACTGGCCGAGGTTCTGCCCCACCAGTCCTAAGTTCTGGCTGGCCAGACCTAAATTCTGACTCGCAAGACCCAAGTTTTGAGTGCCGATGAGATTCTGACCGCCTAGGCCTAAATTTTGGGTTGCTAGACCTGAAAAAATGTTTTAGTGGAAATAAAGTTTATCTATAAAAAATTTCCACAGTCGGGTAAATCGCAAAATACTCCCCACACGTGAAAGATGCTGAAAGTACTGACTAGTTGTTTATGAATTGTCGTCATGTTGCGGCTTTTTAATTCTTCTGAAGACAATACAAACAATGTCAAACAATATTACAAGTGCCATCTTCAATTACTACATATGAGAATTACTCCATTTGAGAATACTCTATTTTAGAATTACTCAATTTGATAAGTACTATATTACAAAGTTATGGTACAGTGAATCTGATTTATTAAAAAAAATATTCATACCAAGATTTTGGCCCAAATTATGACCCATCAAATTTTGATTAAGAGCCAAGTTCTGAGCTCCCAGCATGTTTTGCTGCTGCAACAGCGATGGTGGCAGGGCCGGTTGTAGTGGTGCGCCGAGGCCCAGACCCAAGCCAAGTGGACCCACGGCGGACTGAGCGTTTAACTGGTTTTGGAAGGCTTGTTGTTGCACTGTAATAATAACAATTGAGTGACTCTGTGCGACAGCGGTGTGTTTTGTACTAGAACGCAGCGTACACCTACTTATCGGCGCTGTAGGGACTCTCATACCAGTGGGATTATTCGTAAATGAACCAGGTGTAGTCAGTTATAAACAAATTTAAGAACAATTTTGAAAGTGAAATAATTGTGTAAAGTGGATGACATATCGCCGGTTATTACAATCTAAACTGCTGACTCCATTGACTAAATTGACTATTTTGTACCAAACGAAAGAAAAAAAAGACGGTCAACTGTCAAAGTTGCTATAATTGTGACCTAAACAAATTCAGATCACAAAATATACATTTACTAATGAGATTTTAGCGATTCTACCTTTTTCAGTATTATATTTTTAAATCAGTTTTGTAATTACACACAAGTAGGTTGAAGTGGAGTTAACAATTTCACTTTTTTTTATGATACCAAGCAAGCTACACGTCTGTCAATAACAGTTGCAGGTGCCACTCAGAGCTTTAAAACAAAAAAAAATCCCGCACTGCCACTGCGCCCGTCAACCTGAGACATAAGTTGATAAGTCCCTGAAATTTCACTAGCACCCTTACCATTCAAAACTGGAACGCAGTAATCCTCACATTACTGCTTGTGGTAAGGTGGCAGTACTTCCCAGGACGAACTCTTTCACAAGCAGCTCTACTGCCCCAATAATGCTTTTTAGCGGACGATATTCTAACACAATATTCTAAATAACTTAGATAAGTTAAAAACGAGTAAAAACTCTATATATACGCACCAATAAAATCATTAGCCGTAGCGAGCATGGGCTGGTAATACTTCGGCGCGTACTGCGGCTGCGGCAGGCGGCAACCGGCCATCGCAACTCCTGCGCACGCTACGCGACACACACGTGCAGTTAGTCACTACATGCACACTTAGCACAGAAGTCGGGTATTCGATAGACTACAGAGCGATTGAATTCGTACTAACCATCAAAATACAAGTGTTCAGAATTGGGAAAATTAATTTACCAAAAGTATGAACGTTTTCTTAGTATGGACATATCCATTTCTTTATCAATATCAATGCGTATACAATTTCTTTTTTTACTGTTTACTTTCTAAACATTCCAGAATGTAGGTAATTTTATAAATGGCTAAAGCATTTAAATACATAAGTGCATATAGAAACACAACTACAATAATTTGGCAACTAATAATTTGTCGCCAATGCACTCAAATTTCAATAAATAACACGTATATTCAAATACAATCAGCTCTGAGAATCCCGGGATTCGTAGAAGGGAATGTCCACATTATTATTTAGTTTAGCTAAATTAACTCCCTTAATTCTGATCACTGATAATAAACATTGAACATCATCGGCCTTTACTTTGCTAATGGCGTCGTCCGCCATAATTTTTATATTATTTCTACAGAACTACCGTACGTACATAGTCATTTTAACTTGACATTAGCCATAACATTTAAAAGAAGAAGAATAACATCATTCGCAATAAGATCCTTTGAATGTTTTTTCTTGTTTTTCAATACGTGTTTTGTCAATTTCACAATTTTGAGTTACTACAGTATTATGTTCCATGTGCGTTAGCAATATCATAAATATAAATCATATGTTTAATATCTTTATTATTTCGACTGAAGTTTTTGAACCCAAAGTCAGGAAATAAATTAAAAATAATGATAATAACATAACTTAGAGACACGGCCACAGCGTTCAGAAGTATTCGTGTTTTCGAATTTTACTGATGTTCATTGTTTATTCACTACATCTGTATTTATTATGAAAGGTTAAAGTAAAGGCTATTGTTTAAAACCATTTTTTGGGAAAGTTTCTACGTCTAGTCCCAAACAAAAAGATTAATTATAGTATAATCTGTCTTTTTTGACGACGGAGTAAAATGACATTTGCAGGGTTGCCAATTTTCATAAAATTTTAAATAGTTATGTACTTGTTGACGTTAATTTTATCGACAGATTCTGGAAGAAGGTAAAATTTTGCCCAAAATGTCTGAATTATAAATGTTACTACGTACTAATGGTTATTAATTGCGCTATTTTCTTTTGTCCATTTTGATCATTGGCCTATAGTATAGAAATAATTTTTTATTCATATATATCTTAATAAGGACATGCGGATTTCATTATATCAACTGAATTAAAGAGAAAAACTTTCGAATTATTTATTTATACATTTAAGGAAAATTCACGGACAAAATAATACAATTATGGTATACTTAAATATGAGTAATCCAATGGGATTTTAGAATTCCCACTAACATGTAACAATATAAAGTGCTTAGCAAACCAAAGAGATTTTAAGAGAAAATAATGAACACAATTAAACACAAAAAAAAAACAAAAATAATACACAATTATACAAACAAAACCTGTGTATTCATCGCCAATCACGTGATGTGTCAAAGTGACGTTTGGTCATTTCTCGCCTGACTGTGTCTACGCTTGTAGAAAACAAATCAAAGAGCGATTTACTGTCGTTTTGTTAAAAAAAAAATAATTATAATATTAAGTGACGGGACGAACAAGCCGTGCGCCTGGTGGAGGCTACACGCCTGTCCACAACAGTTGCAGTGCCACTCTGCTCTTTATATTATGCCTCCTCTTTGTATTTTTAGTAGACATAGTTCTTAATGCAGTGTATATGTGTATGCATTTACAAAAAATTACAATTCAAATTAACCTGCGTCCAGCAGTCGGTTGAATAATGGCCCGATGATAGTTCATATGAAACAAGTTCTGCCATTTATTACATAAGCGTTACCAACATTCGATAGTCGATAGAATATTTATCGACTGCAATCACTAGCTGGTTGTAAGCGGGCAACACTTTTGCGCATGAACTGTCATTTTACTCAATCTTCAAGAAAGACAGACTATAGATCCTATAGATATAAATTTACACTACATGTTAATATTATTGTTGTTACAAAGTTAAAAACCCCAACAAGTTATGAATATCCAACTCTAAGTAACAAGTTTAGTTCAAAGGTGCTAAATGTATACGATATTTAAGCTGAAGGTATAGTTATTTCAAACTGAAGACAAGAGGGGAAGAGAAAGGTTTTTGGTGTACGATTTTGTTGTACCTATTAATTCGTACACTGTGGTCAGGGACTTTATTTTTAATGTGAAATAGGATGCAATCGAGCAGACGAACCACTTGACGGGAGGCGGTCGCTCGTGGACATTCGCTACCCCAGAGAAGTTAAGCCGAAGTACTCAGCTTGTATAGAAAACACGTGCCGTGCAACAGACTGACGTATCTCCGTGCAGTAGTGCGGCGCGCGCGCTTACCACGCACCCCCTTAGACTTATCCCTGCTCAGTCTTTAGAGGGAGCGATCCTTACGTGGCACGGGGCCGCAATACCACAAAATGTTGTTTTGTCTTGAGACCGGTAAGGGCGCTGTACAATTCTGCAGCTGTTAATTGAAAGGGCGCATATGACATTCATGTATAATGCCGTGATCAGTAAAAAAAAATGCCGATCTGTCACTATTTATATTCTTCCTTGGTGGATAAGGTATGAAGTTATGGCAGGAGAAAAGTAGATTTTATTTTTTGTTTTATTTCTTTAAACATTATTTCCTCGGTTTTGAGTTTTTTTTACAAGCGCCCTTTCAACTAACGGCGGCATTATTTGCAATACAAAATTGTGAAGTATTATACGCCATCGCTAGCGACAACTGTCGCGGTAATCTCATGGTAGAGGCACAGGTCCCATAGTCACGGGTTCTATCAGACAACCATTATTTTCCCTGTCATTTTCCACCGCATTCTTGCTCAGAGCTTTAGTACAAAAACAACTTACAACACAATAAGACAAACAAAACACAGTGATAAAAAATACGATAGTAAATTCAACTAAAAACGTGACTAATATTAATATAAACTTGGTCTAATAAGACCAAGTACTCTCTTTACAAACGTGTATCGCATGTCATTTTGAATCGAACCGTTAATTTTTTTTCCCGTCAAAACAGTAAGTTGTGTCCATTTGTGCTAATAAAAACAATTTGTGCTCTATTATATGTGACTTAATGACCTAATTATTTAATTATTTCACACGGTATTTATCAAAGAAATTAATGAGTAATCAAAAATTCACCTTGTGGCGTGTTGTTAAGGAGCGTGTTGGAGAGACCGAGGTCAGGCTGCGGGAACTGCGGCTGGTTTAGTAAGCCAAGAAGATTGCCGCCTGATAGGTTTTGTTGTTGGCTGTATAGTGATAAAAAGGAATATTTAATTAAACTGAAAACACGATTACTTCTCCACGAAACACAGAATCCACAATAATAGCAAACTATTATAAAATGCAACTCAGTAACATGGGCTAAGGTTCACGATTAGGCATTGCTAATTTGTAGTTTTCACCTGTATATTTTCCCTTGCTGAGCCAATCTGGTGTACGGAGCGTGCACCAACTACACCCACATTACCAATAAACTTAATTAACTAGCAATTATTTTGCTACGGTGGAAGCGTATTTTAAAACCTTAACAATTACTTTATTATATTTCTGATTATTATTTTTAACAAGATTCAGAGCGAAGTATTATCCAGGCTATGAGTATTACTTGAAGTTTAAAGGAATACATTCTTTAGATTTTCGGTTATTGCTAACAGAGAAATATACTCACTTCATAATATTCTGTTTAAGCAACATCCGCTGTATATTCTCGGCATTGGCCAGGCCGTCCGTCACGCCAGGTGCCGGCGTCAGGTTCTGTTGCGCCGAAAACCTCAGCACAGGGTCAACACCCATAGGCAGACCCACACCCAACCCCAAGTCGCCACCCATTGGTGTCCCCACTTGACTTAACCCCAAAATGGGAGTAGTATCAGTAGCTATTTGCAGCGGTGTTGTTAAATTTATATTATTTTGTAACGTAGAATTTAATATAGGATTCATACTTTGTAAAGTGGGTAAATTCTGAGGCACGGGTTGATTGACTACGGGTATAGAGGGTATGGTCATGGGTATTTCTGGGATTATGGGTATATGGTCGGTGAGCGTTTGAGGCGCGTGTGACGCTTGCGACGAGGCAGAATACTGGTGCGTAGGAACATATTCTTGTGGAGTCTCTTGAAGGCCATTAACCTGAAAGAGAATATAATAATAATATCGCCGTCATCAACCCATTCACACGTACCACTGCTGGACACGTACGCATTTTACTTGAGTAATTTTTACGATTATTAATACAAAGATCTGCCACAAGCACATATAGAAGAATGGCGACATCTTGTGTATTTTGTAACCCAGTGTTTTTGACGACGTGCATTAAAGAGACGTGTGATTCATTATCAAAGCATCCAAAAAGCTAATAGAGTACAGCCTGTAGAAGCTGGGGTTATAAATTTGATATAGGTTATGTTCATAACATTGTACTGTATTTCGCTTCAGATGTTTGTTTGTAGTACCAGAAAACAACAAGTTTTCAGTTTGTCCCCAAAAATAATAAAAAACTGGCTGAACTATCCTAAATCTGCCAAACTCTGCCACATTTAATAGAACGTTAACATGTTCTGTCGCAATTAAAATGTATAAAAATTAAATGGCAGAAATCTGCCACAAACGGTCACACTGTTCTCAATCTCAAAATGACTTTGGCATTGGCAAGAGGCCTCTTGTCAAAACGTTCCTTTGCTAACTTTCGTAACTTTTATTAAAATATAGTCTAATTTTTGACATGTGTTTTATTTTTTACTTTGTCATTATTGTTTAATTGATTATTTGATTAGGTATTTTATAGCTTCAATGTTTTATGTGTGTACTGTGAAATAACCAATACATACCAATAACAACACAAATTTAGGTAGGTAAACATTCAATCATGCTTAAAATGAACGAAAAAAAGTTACCTAATCTATGGTCAAACTGAATCAATTGCGTTTTGTTCTTGCATCTATTCTAAAATATATTGTTTTGTAATTTCTTTATTCCCGACTTTTAAAAATATACATAAATATATTAATAACTAGGCGTAAACTAAAATGAAAAATTATACTAGCAAAGTCCATGAACGGCACTTCGTTGATTTTAGGTCAGCTTTCACCATCCTTCTTTGAAAGGTCCGCTAGTTCGTTCTGTGGTTTAGTTGGCATAGCGTCCGGCGGTTTGCTGGAAGACGTTGGTTCGAATCCAGCCACATTGCAGGAATTTTTTCTTAATCTTTGTATTAATAATTCCAACAAACTAGTGGAGTAATTTTACAAAAACGATTGAATATAATGGTAATGAAACATCGTGACATTCAATAAACTAAAAATATTTTTTTTTAATTGACATTATTTTTAAAGACACCAAGTGACGGGACAGACAAGTCGTGCACGTGGTTGTAAGCGACACGCCTGTCTATAATAGTTGTAGTGCCAATCAAAGCTTTAAATCACAATGATCAGAGGAGAGCTACCACAGCGCCCTTTACCCTGAGACTTAAGTTGACAAGTCTCATGTGCCCTGAACGAACTCTTCACAAGGAGATCTATTGCTACATATGTTCAAGTTTTCGTTATACAGTACGGCATGACTGACAAACGCGCTGTTGGTCAACCAAACGAAGACTAACGCGTGATTGTTCCTATCTATTTGTTTCTCTTTTGGTTTTAAACGCAGACCCGACGTCCGTTGACAGAGTTAACGCGTTTTTCGCACAGCGTCCGATCCGTATTCGTTCCGAGGGGTCTACTCTCGATCTCCGTCCGAAACAATTATTGCCAAATAAGCAATACTTGACCAAATGAAAAGACGCGTGATGCGAATGAAGCTTCATACTGGATACTTGTCTTTTAATTTTGTCGAATGTTACTTATTTGACAGTAATTGTTTCGGACGAATGTCGGACGTAGATCGAGAGTAGCCCCCCGAATCCGAGACTACAAATCTAGAAAACTCGGGCCCACTTCTAATGTCGCTTGTGCACTCAAGTCCAAATTCGAATCCGAGAACATACGAATATCGCTTGTACACATCTATAGATAAAATGATCCCTATGACATTTCGGACCGTCATTTATGCCTGTGACATTTCGGATCATCATTTGTCGGATTTGGAACTCATACGAATCGGACGTAGCTTATGATGAAATCAGTTCTATTCAGTATATTATGCTTTGAGGCGTGAAACTTACCTGTGTTTCAACTTTGGCTTCTGTCTTCTTTTCTTCGGTGACCACAGCTTTCTCCTGGGACTCCTCGCCCCGGTCCACAACTGGGCTGACTAGAAATCTGGAAATCTTCCGCGACGGTTTCTGGTGTTTCTTTTCGCCGTTCTGTGATTCTGTGCTGCTTGATCTATCTTGCGGCGCTGATCCCCCGTCGGATTGATTTGAACCTTTAATAAATAAGTTAATTATTTACAAAATTATGTTAAATAGTCTGGATCAGGGTTTTGCGAATACCAGCACCCACATCCACGGATAATCTATATAAATAAAAATACCCGCATCTGCACTCATCGGTACCGATATTCATTGCTAATGTTCCGAGTCGTGACATGACCTAAAAGGCACGCTGGAATACACAAACCTGGAATTTACAAACCTTCCAAATACGGACTGTAAGCCGAAAAAACAGCTCAGCTGTTGTTTTTAAAACATAACTGATGAAATTCCACAACGATTAAGCTTGGGCCAATTGATTGTTGTATGAAATAATATTAACATATTAACGTAATAACCTACAATACCAAAGAGAATTTTTTTTCATGTAGATAAATTCAGGAAGGACGTACGTTTTACGCGTTTTTTTGTATAAGTAAAGTGGATGCTAACTTTATCATCATGATCATGATCATCATCATCATGCATCAGCATCCACAGACGTGTAAAAAACCTGCATCAGCAACAACTGTGGTTTGGATTATAAATTAATAAAGCAGTGATAGCGTTAGCGACTTTCCAATTTGGCAAATTCATCACCAGCTTGGGCCAGAACCTAAGTTTTTGCCTTGAAGTAAATAAAAATGTGGGAATCTGATTGCCAGAGTTAATTCACGTTTTCAAAGACATCGTGAGAAACCACAGGTTGGTCCAGCAGATTATAAATAGCAGCTATAAAATTAGACGGGTTGAAGGAGCGCTGCAGTGTCTGTACAGCTTCAGTAATTTTTAGTTCACTAATTGTGACAGCGAAAGTGACGCGCGCGTGTCTACGCCAGTGGCGCTGTCACTGCGCTTCTAAATATTGTATGAAGAGATGCAGAGAAAGCACAAAGAAATAAATAGACTGCAAGTGCTGAGTGGACTTGCGAATATTTAATACGTATCTCTATGCAATAGTGAAGGCAGAAAGCGAGAAAATAACAATTACTATGGGGAAGAAGACTTTTTTTATAATATCAAGTGATGGGACAAACAAATCGTGCACCTGGTGGTAAGCGACACAACAGTTACAGTGTCACACAGAGCTTTAAATCGCAAAGATCTTGGGGCACTGCCACTGCGCCCGTTACCCTAAGACATAAAATGACGAGTCCCATGTGACTGTAATTTCACCAGCACCTATACCCTTCTAAACTGGAACGCAATAGTCACATTGAACTGCCTCCGTGGCCAAACGGTTACTATGTGCCGGACTGCCACGCAGAGGTCCCAGGTTCGATTCCCGGGCCGGGAGAAATGTTTGTATGGCCTATATTTATTTCTCTCGTGAGTTTGGGTGTAATTTGTGGTTGTCTATGTGTGTGTCCATGGCACCCGCGACACAGGGTTTCCCCAGTGCGGGACTATATTGAGTGTGTGCGTTATTTATTATTATTTATTACCGCTTGGAGGCAGAAATAGGTAAGGTGGCAGTACTTCCCTGGACGAACTCTTTCCCAAGGAGCTCTATTGCTACTAATAGATAGATAAACTGCTTACGCAAGTGGACGTGGAGTATTTAAAACGTATCTGCGAAGGCAGAAAGCGAGGAAGGTTAATACAGTGCGGAAGAAGACACACCGTAGCACGCTCTGTTCGAGTACAAGGCCTTTAAGAATGAAAGGCCGTTGGCGCAAGAAAATGAAGGCTCTGTGAAGAGACTCTCGTGGCAACAATGCTAAAAAGCAGAGAGCATTGGGAAAGATGTAGAAAGATTAAACTAGTAAACAAGAAATAGATGAGCGGTATAGACAAGCTAATGATGGCGTCTAAGAGAACACCCGCCTTCGTGATTGTAATCATTCGCGGGTTCATAAAGGAATGCTAGGTGAAGGGAAAGGTTTTAGTCCGCAGGACATTGTGATACCATCTTCTCAGTGGAGTCGGGCTTGCTGTATGGAACGGGCCGTACAGTATCCTTGAGGACTTCCTCTTACCGCGAAAAGCGAAAAATATTGTATGAAAATTAGTATTAGTACAAGTGTCTAATTAGAAGGTGCTCTAAGATGAATGAATGAAATATTTCCGGAATATCTTACCTATAGAAGAAGCAGTGCTAATCTTCCTTGAAATAGTTTCTATATGTGTAGGTTTCACTACAACCGGTTCTGGGAGTCCTGCTTCCGGTTGAGGGGTCACATCTGGCATGCCGGTGGGTGGCGCACCAGAGGGGGGGTCCAATGCAAGATCGGCGGGGATATTGTCGTGTGAGTGCGTAGGTGTCGTGCATTCAGAATTATCTTGATTCGAATCTGTCAGATTTTCTTCGCGCTCCGTCGTTTCAGAATCGTAGTCAGTCTGAAAAATATTACAGAATCATTAAGATAGCTACGGTGCTTTTTTATACTGCAATTATGGCGCAATTTCACAACATAATGGCCTTTTTTAGAGTGGCTGCGCGAGCCGGCGCCTGTCTCGAGGCTCGATCCGCCAGTACCTTTCACAGTGCTTGGTCTAGCCTCTGTTTGCAACTTCGACGTGTGGATCTAACGGTTTTAGTCGCTTCGGCACTGTGAAAGGGAAGACGCAAAGACCCGCGCGAACGCACCCGCCGCCACGCCTGCGCCTGCATTCTGAATGAGCAGAATTTCACAGCGCCTCGGGCATGTTCGCCGAAGCGCGCGTGGACGGCTTTGTCGCAGGTCTTGCAAAAGAAAATTACCTCGCTGTTGAATAGAATACGCGGGAGATGTAACGGTATCCTGAACGCATAACTGATAGACCTGACCGATGTTGTGTAAACTCGTACAGAGGCCAATTTCATTATTAGTTATTAAATATGAATCAAGGACAAACTCTATTAACATTAAAATGAACCTATGAATGAAATAAATAAATAATTATTATAATTAAATGATAGTATGATAACTGTTAATTATATTTATTTATTAATTCTGATTTACAAGTAATATTAATACATTTGATAGATATGAAATGAGTGCACTGAACATAAATTATAACATAAAATATTGCGTCATACAATGTCCGGACAGGAGAAAGAAAACAATGAAAAATAAGTAAATAACAAAGTAAATCTACGTAAGACAAATAAATATTACATTAGATGACACCAGTGGCTGAAAACAGAACTCTGCAACGTTTAAATGTGCCATAATTTTTCTTTTCCTGAACTCCTAAGTCTCGTTTATCACTTAAATCCCTTCATTTATTCCCTTGTTGCATAGAGTTATAATGTTCATATGTTTATTTATTTATTATTATTACTATTTTTTGCACATATATTACATACAGAAGTTTAGAAGTCAATTTTATTATTATGTATCCATTATCTGTATGTATACATTATTAGTATTCAATGAGTAGTGTATTTCTTAAAGACTTTCATTAGAAGATATTCTTTAGTTACTATTTTTCGTTGTTGCCTGCAAGGAATTGCTACTTAGCAATAAGACCATCTGTTGACCATTAACATATTATTCTGTGATACTGCTTACATTACTTTTCTATGTTGTCATTGTAATTTTCTTTATATACAATAAAGAATATTTCTGATTGGAGGTGTTATATATGCACGTTATATGTGAACGCAACCCATTAATGTAATAATAATAAGTGCCAGATAACCACAACAATTCCGTGGTCTCAAACTTGAGAACTCCTGTACCATGAGCATCAGAGCAACGGAATTCACTCAGAGGCACTTCCCAGAACACCTAAACAGAATTGGCTCCAAGAATCTCACAACTCGTATATGGTCTAACTTCGCTATGAATTACCTTATCGATGTGCAGGCGAATGGTGGAGTGCGTGGGCGCGCTGAAAACGGGTACGGCGCCGGGGTTGGACAGCACCTGGTTCACGATGTCTTTAATCAGCTCGATGAACATCGCCGACTGCCACTCCGGTAAAAGATTGTTTGACACCTGATATCAAAATAATATGATATCATTCATATGAATGACAATGAGAACGCCCAAAATGTGAGATAAATGGGGTTAAAATGGCAAAAATCGAGGGCATAGACTGTTTACTAAATATTTGTTATAAATCTAGTTTGTTCATATTTCATGATATTTTTCAAAATGTTTATTGCTTTCGGATCTAGACTATTCGATTCGCCTTTCTATTGAAGCAACTCGCTTGAAAATCGCATTGAAATAAGTCGATAAACTATTTTTTGTATCGAATTATTTCAATGCGATTTTCAAGCGAACATCGTAAGCACTTGAATCGGTTTTCATAAAAATTTAATCGTAATGTGCATCCGTAGTAATGAGAATTGCAAGGTATGAATGGAGCTGCCTCTTTTTCGTCTAAAAAACATTTTTTACATCAGAATTTGTAGTATAACGATAGGCACATAATCTTAAATAGTATAAACACATAACGATGATTTTATACCACTACTGATGCTGGTCAGAGATAGTAAAAGTACAAGGCATATTATCTCTAGTGTGCTTTTTCTGTAGCTAACTGCTATATCAATTAGAAGTTGTAAGAAAAGAACAAAAGAGAAAACTGTGTGTGCCCATGCCAGATTGCTATGGAATTATCAGGTGGTAGCATATCCCTTTAATTTTGCAATAACTTCAATATCACATTTTATTTACGTGCCCTTGGCTAGAGTCTCGGCCTTCGCTAAGATTTTCTCAATGGGGCCGACGATATAGAACGCAACTTCAGGAATGTGATCGTGCTCGCCAGTAATAAGAATGGAATTATACCAAATTTTGTATTCGCCGTTACCGCTTACGATTTGGGCAGAAATGGATTAAAACCCGGGCAGGTTGATTGGATTTTACCTCATTGCCATTTCTGGAAGTGTCACAAGTAATCGAGGCAAAGGTAGTCGTCGACAGCGAAAGAGGATAGACAGATACAGAAAAACATACCGTGATAAGAAACCTATAATAAATTATCCGATATATTTATCCGCTCACGCGATACATGCAGCCGTATACGCGTACCACACCTAGAGGTGCCGGTGATGATTTTATACCGATTTATCGGATATCGAAGTTATAACAGGTAAAAGAACTAATATTAGTTGCTATTTCGGTAACTAGAGAACCATTCGGTTTGCTAGAGAACCATAAAGTTTTTAATGCCTTGGTCTGTTATTTAAAAAAATAAACAACTTCAAAAATACGCCACGACAATCGTGTGTGTTATTGTTTGGGCTGGTGATTTCGGTGTTTATTTATTGAAAACATACCGTAAGTAGCGTTTTTTTAAGTTTACCCTGAATATAAATGTTTATAAACTATACTTTAAGGAGTGATTTCATGGTAAACGTTAGAACCACTCAAACGGAATATTATCATATTTACCCAAGTACACCTTTAATTTAATAATTTCATTAGTGCTTTTTAAGTGCAGGATTTGCGGTGTATTACTGCATTTTATTTGAGATGTTTTTGTTGTAGTACGGAGGGTATTTATTTAGCAATGCAGAATAATAATTTTTATTTATAAAAACTTGTATTTAAACTGAATCCTTTTCTAATTTACGAAACCAAATAGCCGCCATTTTTCGGTAGGATGAGCGCATCGCGTGAGCGGGTATATCCGATAATTACCCACAAATAACATCTGCTCGACTTCGCTAGCTAGGACATGTGGAAAGAATGGGAGAGGGTCGAGCTGCCAAAAGAGCAAATATTAGGGGCAACCTTACGGGTCGATGACCTTACGGGTGGACGATGGTCCAGTGGGCCGTCCAAGATATCGCTGGAAGGATGAAGTCGCCAAAGACTTGAGGGAACTGAATGTGTCCGAATGATCGGAATTGGCACAAGACCGACGGAAATGGCATACTTTGGTGTCCGAGGCCAAGATCTACTTCGGGTCGCCGAGCCAGCCAAGTAAGTAAGTAAGTAATTATTTTTTCACTAAGAATGAAAAACACCCAGAAAATTTAAAAAATCAATTTGGTTTGTGACTTTTTTGAGATTGGCATTTTGACAAGTTTTGGTGAGTCGGATACAAACACATAGCACAACATAATTATCACTTCTTGCTTTATAGTAAGAAAATATAACATATTTCTTACCAAATTACTAGCAATCTCTTCAGGGTTAACATCAGTGACGTCAAACTTGAATTGCACAGTCTTGGTCTTGGACTCCAACTGACATTGCACCGTGGTTGGCGGAGTATCGGCGTCTCGTTCTAGCACCGTTAGTTTGGGAAATTTGTCCTTTTCTCTCGAACGCTTTTTTGAACCACGCGACTTCTTATCGCTTGTTATTGGTGATGGTACTGCAGTTCCGACTGTAGTTATAACAAATTGTAAAACAATTAAAAGACAGACTGAATAAGGTAAATAATAAGGTAAATAATAAGTGCGCCATTAGTTAATCGTAAAAGCTAATTTAGTTAATCGTAGTAAACTTACCATCTTGCTGATTTTCTGCCTGCTTCTCCTCAACAGAGCTTAACTCTGGATGTTTGATAGCCTCAACGTGTGTCGCTCCTGAAGGGAACTCATTTAGAGGAGTCAAAAACTGCTCCTTTTGTCCGTTACTATGGTAGCCATTATCCTGTTCCGATGGTATGTTCAACTGCTGTGGTGCTTCTTGCGCCATTGGAGTAGATTGTGGTACAGATGATAACGTTTGAGGCGCGGATTGCGGTACCGATTGAATCGCTTGAGGGATTAACGAAACGGATTGAGGAATTGAAATAATCTGCATAGTTTGAGATTGAGGAATTGATTGCACGGGTTGAGGCATAGATTGGACCGGTTGAGGCATAGACTGGACTGGTTGGGGTATCGATTGAACAGGCTGCGGTAACGACTGAGTAGGCTGAGGAACCGATTGAGGCGCTTGTGTGGGTTGTATTTGAGGTACCGATTGCGGTATGGATTGGGGTACCTGAGGTGCTGGTTGAGGGACAGACGTCATGATTTGCTCTTGCGGCATTGATTGCGCAACTTGGGGCATGGAAGAAGGTACGGACTGCATGTTTTGCACTAATTGTGGCATAGGCTGACTTTGCGCTTGCTGGTAAATCTGCAGAGGATTGACAGAGTAATTCTGCACCGGAGTGCCTTCATGACTAGAAACCTGCCTATCGCTCTGTTGTAGAACGCTCATGTTCAAAGCCATCATGTTATGTGGCAGTGACTGCCCTTGCAATTGCTGCATCTGATGGTAATCTTCCAGCTTTTGCATTTGTAAGTATTGATGCTGGTCTACTGACATTTGTTGCTGCAGTGGAGGCTTTTGTTGCTGGTAATCAGGGATTATAGTTTGCTGTTGGTCGTGAATATCAGTGCTGCTTATCTGACTCTGCTCTGAAGCTTGCCTTTGGTACACCGGTCGCTGCGACCGCAACATCTCTTCAACTTTCTGTTGCTGTTGCCCCATTAATTGCTGCTTTTGGGCTAGTAATGCTAAATTCTGCTTATCGACAATGTTTTGTTGAGACTGAAGTTGCATCTCCTGTTGCGCCAAATACTGTTGTTGTTGCAAATTTCGGATGTGCTGTGGAGATAACGTCTGCCCAGGTATTTGCATTTGTTGGTGCGTAATCATTTGCTGTTGTAGGACTAGTTGTTGTTGCGCTAACATCTGTTTTTGCATGTTGAGTTGCTGCTGTGCTTGCGCGACTTGCTGTTGTGCCTGGGCCACCTGTTGTTGTTGAGCTAATAACGTGGGGTCAACAGCATGAAGAATATTTGGTTGCATAAACTGTTGTTGTTGATAATTCTGACTAGCTTGCTGCACTTGCATCAAATTCTGCATTTTCTGTTGCAACTCCTGTTCTTGACTCAGTTGCTGTTGTTGTTGGTGTTGCTGAACATCAACATTTTCTTGTTGTTGGAACGACATAATTTGTTGCTGCGGTTGTTGTTGTTGGGTTTCAGATTCAGATTCTTTTCTTGACTGTATTGAATCTGGCCTATGGATAATTTGGGCTAAAATGTTTTGTAAATTTTGTAATGACGGATCTAAAATCTGACCAGTGATGAGATTCGGTTGCGGGATGTTATCTTGCGCGGCTATTTGCTCCTCTAGCTGTTTCTGCTGTATCGCTGCAGCTTGCTGGACAATAATATTTTGCTGTTGCTGTATAATTTGCTGCTGTAGTACCTGGTTTTGGTTACTGATTTCGTTAGCTATTTGTTGATTTAAGAGAGTGTTTGGTTGGAGCTGAGTTTGGGAAGGGATTTGTTCAAGAAGATTCTGCTGTTGCTCTATTATTTGTCCTTGAACTGTCTGTTCTAGGATCTGCTGTTGATTAAGAAGGTTCTGTTCTAGAAAAACTTGTTGTTGTTGGAATAATTGTTGATCTGGGGTGAGGGAGGGCGAAATTCGAGCTTGGATGAGGTTGTGTTGGAAGAGCTTCATGGCTTTCTCTTCTTGGTTAAACTGTTGAAACTGATGTTGTAATAATTGCTGTTGAGCTTGAAGGAACTGTGACTGCTGATCTAGCCTAGAAATAAAATAACAGAATTTGAAAAGAAATTGAAGATAAGCCAGTAATACCGTATACCCATGTTGATCAAAACGTGAAATAAATATTTATACCGAACTGTTTTTATAACAGTGTTTTGTAACTCAAAAAGTGTAATAATTCAGAATAGATTAATACCCAATTACTCGCTTCCCGTGAAAGATTATTATAGTTTATGCATAGGTTAATCATAACCATTACATCAAAATAATTTTCTACTTGCCATTAGAATAAAAGTAAAAAATAATTACATATTTTTAGTAAGTACTGTTTTGTACAGAACCAGCTCACAAAACGTTTGTCTCATTATGAGTCAAGTAGATATAATTTAATTGTTTCATTCAATATTCTAGTGACAGTTTTATTGACGTGTAGATAATCAAATTTTACGTTCAGAAATGGTATAATCTTGAATTTCACATATTTTGAGTTACAACATTATTGTAATGGCAGTGCGGTAATTTCTGGTTACCTAGTTAAAATATTAAACTTACTGCGTCGCTGATAGGACCGGCGCGGCCGAGCCGACGCCGTTGAGAAGACTAGCTTTGACTTGATCCACAGGGCCTACTTGCTGCTGATTTTGGATCATCTTCACCTGCGGAATAAACGCTTGATTGATGATGATATAAAAAAAAACCATTACAGAGAAACCATTATCATAATATATGAATATTATTAAACGTCTCAAAAAAAAAAGAGGAGGTTCCTAATTCGATTGTACTTTCTATTTTTTTATACTACCAAGTGACGGCACGAACAAGTCGTGGGTCTGGTGACGCGACACGCCTGTCCATAACAACTGCAGTGCCACTCAGGGTTTTAAATCGGAAAGATCTGAGAAGCACTGCCACCACAGAAGTATCAATTAACGTAAGGGACATGTTTGAGGAAGATGTTTAGTTGTGCCTTACGTTACTAATATTTCGACCTCTCCTTCGTAAAGTATCGTATGTCGAAATTGCCAAGTTACAGGGGAGCGTTTTAAAGTTCTGAATTCATTGAAAGAGTGATCACCATAGATCATCTAACCGATATCTAGGATTTTATAATACTCTATGTGAGTAATGAGCTTTGCCGAATAAAACTGAGAAATGCTAAAGTCACGTGTTATGTTCGTTTCAGTGAATTCAGAACTTTAAAACGCTTCCCTGTAAACTTGGCAATTTCGACATACGATACTTTACGTCGGAAGGGTCGATTTTATGTGTAAACCGTCGAGCATAGTGTAAGCAGTAAGAGAAATAGAAAATTATACGTAATTCTATTGTAAAGGATACTTCACAATAGAATTACGTACAATTTAGAACGAAACGATGGAGCCATTATAAAGGTTTTTTCGTTTATTATCATTTAAAGGTATAGGTTTTTTTTTGTCCAATCATTTTAAATCTCGTTTTGCTCGAACTTGCTTTTAATTATACAATTTTATTTTACTATTCACGCTAAATAAAATTTTAAAAGATATATTAAACTCAAAACATAACATATTATGAGCTTTTGAATTATATTTTATCAATTTTTCCAATTTTTCAGAAACTTTTTCGGAAAAACTACTGTTTCTACTGTTTATCGAATTCTTAGGTTTTTGCGATTGTTACACATACACATAGGAAATGAAACTATTTTTCCGGATTTTAATCGCGTATATTTGTGTTTTCAAAATTGGGATCTGTAAAGGGCCCGAATCGTCGGTTTGTTTGAAAAAACAAATATACGCCATTTAAATCTGGAAAAATAGTTTCATTTTCTACTATTTTTTTTTTTTTTGAAAATTACCTAACTATAAGAGCAAGAGCAATATAAAGCCCGAGATCTCTATACGAGATTAGCAGTATCTCGGGCTCTCGTGCTAGCCATATTGGAAGAATTCGTATAAAAGGTTCACGGGCACTCAAAATGGCTAACAACTTTTGTTAAAAAACTCCCACTCCTTCATCTTAAAACCGAAAGTAAATTTAAAAAAAATACACATTCTACCGACCTGCCTAAGTTGCTGCTCAAGGAGTATTTGTTGCTGGCGATTCTGCTCGTTGATCAGCTCCTGGTTGAACATCATCTGAGCTTTCTTCTCGCTCCTCTCACTGCAAATAACAATTGCACCGTGTATGATAACTGCCTACGTATACACTATGAGAGAACATGGGCCTTGTACTCCAATTTTTCTTTGTCAATGGTGTACGTGATCCAAATAATTAACCAAAAATAATTAACAAAAAATAAATAATTAACCCTACATATTTCTTACAATTTTTATTATTAGAACGCTCTTCTAAAAGGTGGTTTTCATTATTCCTAAAGAGAGCAACACGTCACGGCCTCTACCATGAGATTACAGTGTAGATCCTCGACATCGACAGCACAAAACAGTTGTATAGAATATTTAAGTTCTCCATATGACCGCTAGAGGCGCTATCCATTTTGTTATACAATATTGTCAAATATGTGGCGTGATCGCTAGTGACCATCAACACAATAAAGTCATGGTAGAGGTGCAGCTGGTATATTGATATTAAATTTAGTAAACATGATTTGTCCTTAAGTTCAAAAGTTTTAATAAATTAAGGATACAAGTTTACATAAGCGTTTTATTTATCCTTGTGTAAAATAATAAATACGACTAAATGGGGCCCAGTGTCTTTTTCTTTTCTCTTTAGATAGAGAATTTATGAAAAAATATTTTGTGTTAAAAAAAATTTTATTGAAAAATAGTGCGCGAAACCGGATTCATCCCATAGTTTGACACCCGTAAAGGTGGAAAATTTTCATCAAATCTAAATGGGACCAATACTGAGGTACCCTCTTTCCATTAAAAAGAGAATCATCAAAATCTGTTCACAAATTCAGGAGTTATCGCGTAACTTGTAAATCTGTTGACAGTCGTCTTCACAATAATAAAATTCCGGTTCAAATTCAAAATTTGCTGTTTAAAACTATAATAACTTCTGCGTACATGGATGACAAAATTTCTTGGTACACGACAAATCGTTCAACAAAACTGTTCAGGTAAGTAGGTATTCTTAACACCAGCACGCGTATCATGGTGGGACGCGACCGCCGACAAGTTGAAACTTTTGGTCCATCGTCGATTGACCCGGTCGACTTTTGCAGCGAATTTTGTGTTCACACTTTGTTGGCGTTTGCCGAAGGTAACAGGACTTATCGACCTAGTGTAAGCGCGCCATTACTCTAGTTACGACTGCGACGAACGGTCGCCCCGCCAGGCAGAAAGTATACAGGATACATCCTTACGTCTGACGACCTGCCTCGGTGGTTTAGCAGTTCGATTATAAATCGGTTCTGCCCGAGTGTTCTGTTATGAGTGTATTCCCTGGTTTGAGACCAGGTTGTTAGTGTCATTGTCTATTACATATTCCTGTGTCATATATATAACAAATATAGCTAAAAAGAACTGCAAAGCATTTTCATACAAATACTAGGAAATGAAATTATTTTTTCAGATCAAAATCGCGTAGGTATATTTATCTTTTCAAACAAACCAACCATTTGGGCCCTTTTACAGGTCCCATTAACATTAAAATTAGACATAACTAGTTGATAACTTTACCATCGCAGTCGACCGTAGACCTGTGAAGGGCCCGAAACATTGGTTGATTTAAAAAAAAAAACAAATATAGGCGATTTATATCTGAAAAATAATTTCATTTCCTACTAGAGAGGAGTTTATTAAGGTTCACACTTACTACTGGGCCGATTTATGGGCCCTAAAGGAGTCACTGCACTTATCGACACTGAAATGCATTAAACTGGTCAGAAAAAACCTTTATGTTCATGTAATAACGGCGAAAAAGACGTGCGTTTCCCAATGGAAGCGAAACGGATAACATCTTTTTCATTCTTATTCCATGGATATAAACTTTTTTGACCGGCTGTAGTGAGCATTACTACGTTCCGGTTTCGAAGGGAAGAGTGCTGATGACATTACAGGCACATGGTAATTGTCAACGACATGTCTCAGGGTGACAGGCGCAGGGATTTAGATCCGAAAAAATAGTTTCATTTCCTGAGTAACAATCGCGAAAACCTAAGGACTCGACTTACAATAACTGTTTACTGCGATACAATGACAAACAAAGGACAAAATAAAGGCTATAACAGGCGTTCTTACAACTTCCGAGCGACTGAATCAACTTAAAAAAAATAATAAAATGCACACCATATACGAATCTATTATCAATAGTACACCTAAACAACAAAGAAGCATTTTTACGATAGATTTGCCGTTGAACGAATCACCTCGAACCTTGGATACCTCGCAGATAAATAAAGTACAAACTGTTACTATTAAAACCAATTACACTGAACACTTGTGGCCTTCGATAGGAGTAGGGAAAACCACGAATTGTTTTTAATTACTGTATTAAATACATGACGAGTGAGGTCGTGCTTCATATCATCAACCTATTATAAACTGCCTCTGTTGCCGAACAGTTACCATGCTGGTCTACCACAATTCTCAGCCCGGGAGAAATATTTGTATCTCGTGAGTTTGGGTCTAATTTGCGCTGAAGGAGTAGAACACGCTCTTAGTGGCGGAGAGAAAAACTTTAGGAAGGCTCTGGGTCCAACTAGGGAAGAAGATGGATGAGGGAAATCTAGAGATCGAGCATCTGGTAAACGAGGCTAGCATCACGGGAGAGACCAAATCATCCCGACTTCCCTGACTTGCATAGCATATCTGGATCAACCAAGACACAAAGGGACCTGTGTAAGATTTAAATAAGCGATTGGTAACAAGCGACACAGAAGAGAAGAGTGGCGCATCTTAGTGTCGGAGGCCAAGATCTACTTCGGGTCGCCAACGAGGTAAGTAAGTATTACGCCAATGTCAAAGTACACGTAGGTTGATATTATACATACAGATAACTACCAAAAAATATGACTTTTGTGCAAGCTTGTATACATAATGTAGATACGTATTAGAGACTTAGAACGAGCTGGGAACGTTCAATCGTGCATCCCACTCGAAATTATACTAAAAGTAGTGAAAAATCGCTATTTGTCCCGCTCGCACCGTTCCTACTGTATAAAAGACAGGTGAACTATCAACAAAGACAGTTCCTAGTTCACACTGAAATAAAAAAAAAACGATGAACCGTGCAAGACGAACTAGTTCATGTCGGTCAGTGTAGGGAATGTATTTCTAATAGTTCGTAGTTCTGAAGATGATAGCGGACAGGATGAATGCAGCTGTATTCCGGAAGTTCACTGAGTTGCAAGGGCAATGTATACGCTTCTATAATAATATTCCGATTGATATTCAAAATTTGCCATTTACGATGTTTAAAATTATAGTGAGACATAAATTTTATACTAAAGGTTATTTATTATTATACACTTTCTGCGCACTTGGATGATAATGACAAAAATCCGTAGCTCTTGCAGGTAGTCTAGATCTAAGATGTTTAAATATTGTACTGATAAATATATTCAAATGTGCATTTACAAAGAGCAACCCCAAGAGTTTCTTGCTCATTCTGCTCAGGGGAATCTGACGATTTCAAGTGTGATCTGCTTATCTATGAAATAAAGATTATTTGGCTTTGACTTTGCATGTTACACGTGCGACGCTGTGAGCCACATGAATGGCTGGGTTAACTACGCTCTCTTAGCGCTTAGGCTTAGAATACTGTAATGAATATCTTTATTATATTTTTTTTAATTATGTTTACAACCTGTAGGTACAACTAAAACAATAACGTGACAGCCCTAAGCTACAAAACGAAGTATAGGTATTGGAGCGCCGAACGGGCAGGAGTTGCACTACTCGTCTTATTATGTCATATCGATGCATTTCTTAAATTCCTATCTTATAAAGAGTGATTATTCAGGAGATGGCAAATATTTATATTTGTTTTAAATTGCTTACCAAGGGTGTTAATTTAGGTGCATTACTTTAAGAATAGGTAAAAGGCAGTGTGTGATATGAAGGAAATATGATGTGAAAATCAGCCTGTAAAATTTGTATATCTGTCGTCCGCGAACTAAAACGCGGGTAAGTGACAAAATATTTTTTTTGTGTTGTCACAAAAAACCCAGTTTTAGAATACTGAAATTGTTTAATGCTATTTCAGCTATGCATCGTTAGGGTAAGTTCCGATAAGTCGAACTCGTTAACTAATTTGAACTGTATTTAAAAGAGAATCTTGTGCTCTATTTTTTGTTATTTAAAACGGATTTAGCTCATGGACGGCAGATATACAATCCATCTTTTGCATTTCAGTAACTTTGTGCTTTAAGATACGAGTTTGAGAAAGTGAGGCGACAATATTCTGGCCTCATATTAATTTCCAGAATATTGCAATTTCCAACATTTATAGCTAAAATATAGTGCCACTATTTTATTGCAGCTTTATTATACTACAATTAAAATATTAAATTGATAAAACTTACTGTTTTCAATCTAAACCATAACGAAGCGTTAACTGTACGAGATACAAAAATATGTCTTAACACGAAATTTATTTTATATCGACTGATAACGTGTTTTATATTATCTAGATTGTCCTTATTTAACACGAAACCAACTTAGCATTTGGACGTTAAGTCTTATCTTTTTGTAAATCACCGCTGGCGCACATGAAAAATAAAAAAACGAGTAAACAGAGGTATCAAACGCTAATCTATTAAGATTCAAGCATTACTTTGCTGGAATCCATGTTAATAAAAATGAAAATAAATTAATTTGCTACTCTAGGAATATATTTATGGTGGTGATGTTTGTAATTGTAGTAGTATGCATTTACTAACGTGGTATTCTTTTTTATTAAATACCCCACTACTCTGTTAATATTCCTGAAGCGGAAGTGGTGTCCTCGTGGAAGTACCAACCTACTGAACAGGGCACTACTGACACGAGCCAGAGGACTTTAAATGTTATTGACGGGAAAATTGACCTATCTGCCTGTTATCTGTGTGAGTTTAATAAAAATAGCTTTATGTGTAATGTGTTATGGGATATAATAACAGTCTGTAATATAATTTAGTAGATATAATTTTGAATATAATAATTAACAAGATTAACAAGTGATAATTTTGGCTACACCATTGCATTAGGTTAGAC